GGCTGGGTCTGTGGGTTGGGTTGCATTGTTGAGTGGGTCTGCTGGGTGGTATTGCCAATGGAAAGTGAATCTGGGTGACAGTACCAATGAAGCGTAGAATTGGGTGGCATTGCCAATAAAGAGTGGGTCTGGGTGTCATTGTCAATGAAGGGTGCGCCAGGGTATAATTGCCAATGAAGGGTGGGTCTGGGTAGCATTGCCAATGAAGGGTGGGTCTGGGTAGCATTGCCAATGAGGGCTTGTTCTGGGTAGCATTGCCCACTGCTACTATTGAGTATGTACTGTTTAATTTGCTCATAGATTATCGCTTTACAAATAAATTGGTATCAATATGTGGACTAACTTGAATGTGAGTGTGCCTCATTGGTCACAAGCTGAATAATACTTGTTCTCCAATGAAGGACACTCATTGGTAATTATCACAAATTATCACAAATAGTAGTTGCATGAATGAATGTCACAGCATTAACAATTTTCGCTTTCTCTTCACCAGACCAAGGCATGAGACCTTCTACAGTGATATTGATTCAATGCCTCAAATTCGACCGAGGAAGAAATCTATACCCCTGGTTAGCGACCTGGTAACTTGTGAATCTACCATTACTAACCTTGCATGTTTGAAATGCTATTTTTTGCTCTTTATGTACTAACTTGAATAAGTGGTTCCACAAAAGTTTTTATCACAATGTCAGAATGTTCAAAAAAGAGATATGAATATTCATATTACTCAGTTCTTACTGTATTTATAAACTTAGAAATTGAGTTTTGAAACCTTTTCTGACACCACTAGAAAGAGCTTCAATTTAGCTGTATGTATTGATTCAGAAAATATGTGTAGTGTAGTGTAGTGTAGTGTAGTGTAGTGTAGTGTAGTGTAGTGTAGTGTAGTGTAGTGTAGTCATTTACTTCTTCACACTTACTAACTGTTCAACAGGAGCAGGTCTTTACTACATGATTCTTAGAACTGTGTTCATTTTTGAACTTTATTTGTATGTGCTGTACAATTGACACCATATTCCACACACATTCTTGAAAACAAATATCTTAGATTTTGCAACTTATTCCGGAATATTAGACTTATTTTTATTTATTAACTATAGTAGAAATGAGACAATAGATGTAGTCACATAGTTTAGGACTAAAAACTGCATGCTTTGTCTTTTATGCTTTGCTTGCTTTGCCTCAGCATTCATCACATGACATCTATTAACCAATGGCTGTGAATCATTCATCAATTGCTTGCTTGCCTTCTTTCCCTTTTCATCTTTCTCTGTGTGAGTGGTGTGGTTTCCATAAGTATTCACATCTGTCTTTCTTCCTCTGCCTGCCAAACATGCATATATCAGGAAGTGGGAATAAGGAGTCTATGGGTAAGGTTTAACTGTGATTGGTCAATAGTAAATGGATTATCCGATTAGGGATGGGGGTGGGTTGCTTGTGTAAGAGGGAAACATGCATTATGTAGGGGAACACTGGTAAAAATGACGGGTGATCACCTTCATGATCTGATATGTTCAATATATTTTCATGATTGTTAAAATAAGATGCATTCTGTTGATTTAGTAAAGATGCATGTGGATAGGACAACATGTGGCATAGAAACTTTCGGCCATGTTTCACTTGTGTTTTAAATGTTTCACTGTGCTGTCATTTAAACTAAATAACTTGAATCTGATTTAATTAGATAGTGTAGTTTATTTTTAAATTATTCATTTGTAAATATTATGTAAATAGCGAAGCAAATTGCATTATCATGAAATATAATATTTTAGCTCTATCTGCCCACTTTGTAGAAAACTGTATCCATACTGATGTTCTATTTTCATGCTAAACCTCGCCTCTTACATGCGACAGTGATAGTTTTTGTATTGTGCAACAATGGAAGTATAATCTATGTTTTTCATAATAATAATAATAATAACTTTATCAACATCATTCATTTTGAATAGAACATAGTCAAATACTATTCTAAGAAACAAAACAAAAACAACAAATGAAAATAAATATACTATTGACACAAATCATGTGAAGCACTAACAGTATTCAGTTGAATTATGTTGGTCCTTTGGAAGTTGGACAACTTATTTCTACTCAGATAACACATGTTCTACACTTGAAATCTTTTTTTCAGGATTATCATGAACAATTAAGTTTAACTGTGATTTAATTAAAAACAAAATTCTAAATTTGTTTCTAAAGTGCATTATTTACAGAGATTGCTTAAATAATTATGAAAATCTATGCAAATCTGAATATTACATATATGTGTGGAAATATCATTGGAATAAAACATATTTGAAAATATGAAATAAAGATCATTTGTGTTTTGAATGTTTAATTCATGTAACAATCTACATTGCACGTTCTTTTTATTTCTTTTCTCTGCTTATAAAGGGAATAAGTCTGCTCCCTCGAGTACGTATCATCAAATCCATATATGGGCATGCTGGATACACTTCATTTGCATAATTTAATCTCAGATTATTCAGAGTAGTCAACATTTTTAATTAATATTAATATTTGTTGATATAGAATTTTTTTATTCTTTTGTAAATTTCTTGTAGTTGTACTGTAGTAGGTCATAACTAATTTTGTGGTTGGTTTTTATATTTTTTTAAGATATGTTTTTCACCTTTTTAATATATAATGATTTTGAGAATTTTTATTTTTGTATATATTTTTTTTTATTTGTTTCTTTTTGGAAACATCATAGTTGTTTTATAGAATTGTAATTAAATTTTTGATATGACTTTATGCTATTCCTTCCTATCACCCCAACAAGGCTATAATACTCACCACTCCCAATTCTGTTTAGCACCAATAGACAGTGATGATGAAAAGAGTTGGTACCAAATCACAATAATTCTTGGCAAAAACAATTTTTAGATCAAACCTATGTTCATTATCATGTACTTGACTCAGATTTATCACTTCTATTGTCGTCGTTATGACAACATGTTCCATGTTCAGCCATAACATTGCATCTACTCATGAACATTCTGACTGTTAAGTTTTCTTTCATGAAACCCTTCATATTAGATGAGACTAATTGTATATTGTGTGTTATGTGTCGTTCTTTCTTTAGTCTTTGGCTGCGATGAAAAGACAAGCTGGTCTCAGTTCAGCCATTGTGACCAGACAATCACTGAATGATGAAGAACTGGTAAGTTGCTATGGTAACCATATGATGAGAACATTATGCACATACCTTACACCTCTAATTCAATCAATTCAAAACCAATGACACTAGACTTCAATGTGCTTCAATGCTTTCACTTAGAAATACCATTTCTGTATTACTGACTGCAATGATGTATCTTTCTTCCTTGCTGTTTTTAAGAAGCTTGTACTATTCAGGCATTGAAACTGTTGTTATTTAAATGAACACAGGTGTGTTTTATAATGAATATTTATGACTTGTTCATAGTTGTAGCCAAGGGACTGGTACAGGTGTTTTCCTTTCTTTGTGTTCACTTTCTTACCTTACTGTGCCTTCCTAAAGATAATTCAATTATCTCACTTCTTTCTAATGAGAAATAGGCCAAAATAACAATGGCCATTGATGAAAAGAGATCAATGTACACCAGTAACTAAACAAATATTTACTTCTAACAGAAAATGCATGTTTATAAGAAGACTCTACAGGCCTTAATTTACCCCATATCAAGTACCACTCCACATAACTTTGAAGTGTGGTCAGCAACAACCCCTACCTACTGCTATGAATGTGAAGGCTTACTTTGGGGTATCGCACGCCAGGGTGTCAGGTGCTCAGAATGTGGTGTCAAATGTCATGAGAAGTGCAAAGATCTTTTAAATGCAGATTGTTTACAACGTAAGTACACCATTTCATGGTAATTTGTGCTGATTGATCTCCTGTATCTCCATAATAATTTGCCAATGTTGTGTTGCCATGGTAATGCAGTAAACTTTTTCCATGATAAGCAGCATCAACTTTTGTAAAGTAATTTTGTAATTTAGGTTGGTGTACTGTTACCAAGGTAATCATACCAGCAAATGTACACATCATGTGTCTAGCTGCCATTCAGATCTCCAGGTTAGCTATCACTGATGTAGAGTTTATATGCATCATGATGCAGTATGATTGGAATACTCTTCATGCATTAATTTCTTCTTTTATGACCTTCCCCTGAACAGCCTTTTCTCAATCTAATATACAAGAAATATCAGTTATAAATACAAAAGCAAAAAATGCACCTAAAGGGAGATTTTAGCCAGTTTGAATGTTGCACAGTAAGGAGGAGTATTATGGGATATCAATGACAGTTTTTGATCAATTGTCAAAGTTTGACAATACCAGCATATGGATGCAATATTGATTGTAATTTACTGAAGCTATCAGTGATTCAAGTTTCAGGGTGAATACCAGCATGTAATTTCTGTATATTCTTACCATCCATATATAAATACACATACTGCAGCATAGATGCAGTGGGTCTTCTTGTGCTGAGCTATTCTAGTATGATACCCATAGTGTCTTACACTGAGGATGTCTCGGCTCATTCCTTCAACAGTGTGTGTTTCAGGGTGAAGGTACACAGCAAGTTCTGTTCATGAACAGGAAATTAAAATACTTAATCAGCACCTGGTCCGCTGCCCTTTCATCCTTTTATCCATAGCGTATTTTAAAGTAAAAATGACATCATACCAAGTAAATATTCCAACTAATTCTAAGGAATTTACAGTCTATAAACAACGAATTATGTTAAGTTCCCGTTTATATTTAAAAGTAATGTTCAGTTCTAGAGTCTGATTAAAAGTAATAGTGTGTTATGCAGTACACTGAATATCACTTTATCTTGATCGTTTTTTTATGGAAATTTATAAAACATTTATTTCAGACAATCCTTGCATTTAGTAATACCTATTGCTGTGAGTCTCGTGTGGAAAATTAAGTAAAAAAAAACTTTTGTGCAGATATATATTTTCAATATTACATTAGTATCAACACTACATTTAGATATCAAATTTTCAAAATTTCAAACATAATCATCACAGATAGCAGGGAAATAGTCACGATGAATCAAAGGCTATACTAATCATTGTGGAATTCTATACAGGAAGTATTCATTAGCTATTAAATGCACTGTGATTAATCAAATTGTTTTCTAACATCATTTGAAATTTATAAAAAATCTTTAATTTATAAAAAGTGAAATTGAGTGTATATTCACATGACATTTGACTTTGTTCGATAGTTTTCATTTTTTTTTTACTGTATTGGGCTGTATACCGATACATACATGTATTAGCACTGATTTCTATCATATCATATCATATCACATATCATGGCATTCTTGTCACTATTATTTTGCTTCATCCATTCATCCTTATCTTTATTTGTCTGGCATTCCTAATCATGCACTTTGCTTTTCTGTTTTTCACAGTGTCTATGACTAAAACCAACAGTAAGTCAGTCAACAACGTTTTTTGGTGGTTAAATGCCCTAAGCATCCTCATAGAAAAATCTTTCTTGGTGGTGGTGGATAAATCATAGCATGTTCATTGCTGAAACTTTTCTTTCTGCTTTCCCATGTAGCAATGTATAACTGGAGTTTCTGGCATGAGTGAATGTTTTATTGAATAGATTGGGTGATGTCAATGTATAGTCCAGCCTTTTCATCAAGTCACCTAAACATCCTATAAATAAGACTAAAAGCAGGGCTGCTTTATCCATTATTTGGGTTATAACTTGTTTTACCACATTAATATCCATGAAAGTACTGACTGCATTGTATTGATTGATTGAATAATTATTCGATTGATTGATTGATGAATACACATTTGAATATTGACCTGTTTACAACATTGTTTCCACTTGTTTTTCATATGCACTGTAAGTTGTGCAAACCTCCCCTCTGATTGGTTATTGACTACATAGTTGGATTCCTTTGTTTCACCTGTTTGACCTGTGGTGAACTCTGGGCCAGGCAGGCTATTGTCTTCAGTTCTGCATGTGGTTCTATAGAGTGAAGACGTGTCTCTGTGCCTGCTCTGAATTGTCCTGCCGTGTTGAGTTTGCTGTAAAATTTGCTAGGTTTGCTAACACTTGTACATTGGTCTGGGAAAGTGCCACATTCAGATTGACAAACAAAGTAACGAATACAACAGTGACATTTATACTGCGATGATGTTAAAATATTTTAGCAGGGGTTTGTTCAGGTAATAAACGTCCCACACTGAAAGCCACAGTGCAGTTACGCAGTTACAAAACAATGTCATTATCCTCAACACATGTTGTCCACATTTTATCTGTTTTATGCACTGAAAAATGTTCTTTGGTTACGCAAGTTTCATTTTTAGTAAAATGAATTGAGAATGATCTTGGCAACCACTAAAACGTTTGATATAGGTTTGTTCTTTCGATTATCTCTTCACTTGAGTTCAATATTGGGCTGTATGCAGTCTTAGAGATATCACTATAGCACATACAAATCTGATTATGATTCAGTTGACAGAAGATGTGAATCAATACAAGCAGAGATTGTTCCAGAAAATCAATCATTCCTTTCATAGGAAAGTACACAGTACGGCAGTCATAGCGATACTGCATGTAAAATACACAGGAATCTAGACATTCATCTGATGCAATTGAATTGCTTTTGTGACATTGTCAACACATTCAGATATTTCATGATGTGTGATATCAATTCTTAAGTAATACTTGCTGGTATCCAAATCTTGTTTCTTGAGAGGAATGTAATTTTCTCTAGAAATACGGTGTATTAACAGAATGGCATGTAGAGTCAGTGTATATACATGTACAGTGTGTAGGTCATGGACATTGATGTGGTAAATAAAAAACTTAAAGGAGAAACTGACTCACCTTTTCAAATGGAATTGTTTAATGCTTTCTTCATAAAGTATTGTAAATAATATTTATATTTAAATTTTCAAATATATACCCTTGTTTCGCTGAAAGCAGTTAGTTACCATTTGAATAACACGAGTATTTATTTTAACAGGTTCATTCGAATTTTACATCAAAATAATAACTACATCCTAAGCTTAAATTAGTTTATTGATTTCAGATGAAATAATATTGCTTATATCTTAAATTTATGATAATACTATACATAAAAAAAACTCTTCTGGCTATCAAATTTGCATGATAGTATTTAAATTCTTTTAATTACCTATTTATTATGTTTTATATTTTACCAGTATGTTGACCCCCTCCCCCCCATTTGATGTACTTCAGCCGTGCTATTAACATAACCTATTTACAAATCTATAGATATTGGGTTCAAATTTATGTTATATGAACCTAAAATAACAGCATTCCAAAAACACTCTTAAATTTTGTTTTCAGATGAGAAAACCAACTAAAAATCAGGGACATAATATTATTTAGACAGACCTGAGTAAAATGGAAATATAACTGTTTACTATTTTGGCTTCTGCATGTTGTACTGCCCTCAACTTACTCTTTGTGTCTGTGTGAATATATGAATATAATTGTATGTATGATGTTATTTGATTTGTCACAGAGAAATATAATACTGGTATAATATAATAGCGATAAACTTGATTTTGTATAGAAGTACTGGTATACAAACAGGCTTGCATAACTTGTTCGTGTATTTTGTGCTTCTATGCCAAATCACATGCCAAGCAAAGGCTTATTGCTTTATAAGTAGTGGATATGCTTACAATGAAGTGTAGCTGTATATGCCCAATGAAAGGAAGAGATGTGATGGTACATTACATGATGTAGCGGACATTTACATCTTTAACTTTTGAATATTCATCTTTTTTTTCATCTTCTCCATTTGATCATGCTTCAATCACCAATTTGTTATCAATGTCTCAATTATCCAATCATTTTAAAATGCTAGATATTACATATGCATCAAATATTGTGCACAAGTTGTGCCATCACAACTTTCATTTGGGGAATCGCTATTTTTAGACTTTTAGTTTTTAGTAGCTGTTTTGTCTTTATATTATTGTATTATCTTGAGCATTGATTGATTGAGTGCTGCTGTGTGTGAGTGTGAGTGAGTGTGTGTGTGTGTGTGAGAATCACTATTTGAACCTTTGAGTGTACCAATAGTTTTCACAGATCAGAAAGTTAAATATAGTGCTGGTTCATTATAGATATACATATACGTTAGAACTTAAAACTCTGGGTTAATTGTTAAAAGATGATACAATAACAAATACAGATGATTTATAAATGCATTTGAGTCACCTATATTTTACTGATTTACGAAAATGATGTAGAAAAAATTAGTCACTATAGAGTGCAAATCTGTATTAATAAAAAATGACAAATTAAAAATAATCTAAATGGTAGATTGAAGGTTCAAATCGTGATTCATTCTGGGGTACATGTGGGTGTTTATTATTGTTGTGTTCGTCTCTTTCTTATAATTATGTGACAACGGAGACTCCGTCAACTGGAAAGACAACATAGCCATCTTCTTCCAGGAGTTACAGAACGTATTTCGGTCTAATGGCTCAGCTGACACACAGCCACTGGGTAATGACAATTCACCACCAAAATTCAACCTTCCCAGCATGCTACACCTTGTATTATGCCTCTAGTTTCTATTCTCATTTCATGTTTTATTTAACACATGTTTGCACCTTGTTGCTGTTTTTTTTTTGCCTTGATTTCAGATCATACACATAAATCTCCGCCAGCATTTAACTGCATCAAAGGCTTTGGTAATGATCTTTGTGTTTCATTATATTGATATAATATAAACCCCTCTCCCGTCTTCCTCGGTGCATATTGCCAGAAGATATACAGCCTTGACTCGTTGTGTTGATAAGCCCCCTCCCCCATCTAATTTCTTGCTGTGTATC